GAGAGAGAGAGAGAGAGAGAGAGAGAGAGAGAGAGAGAGAATGATTAGGACCGGACCGGACAGGACAGGACAGGACAGGACAGGACAGCTAGTGTAATATAAAGGATACAAGTGAATGGAAAAAAGTTTTGTTGCAATGTTCCTTGCATTGTCCAGCAAAATTTAGGAGTAGAAATAATAGTAATAATCACAAGAGTAATAATAAACCAAAGAAAGGCTAGTCCACAACAGAGGTGGTAGTATGAGTATGAATAAAAATTCCTGATATAAGGAAAAAATCTGGGGGAATCTTCAGATATTCTGAACACATACATAGGAGGGGTATCTGACTTCCCTGAATTTGAATCACCTCCATCTAGGTAAAAATGAGCTACCTTTAGACAGTTACTCTGCAAGATTTGAAACAAATGACTCATCATTGGGCAGTTTCCAGTGGGCTTTGGAGAATTCCATTATTTTTTAAGTTGATCTTAGATCAGACAGTTGATTTATCCCATTGCTCTGGTGTTGATTAATTCCTTAAATGGTTTACCATTGCTTGAATATTAATGTAAGATGCTTTGGAAACATATTAGAGCTGAAAACCAGGAGGCAGCAATTGACATTAAAGAAATATTGGGATTTGTAGGTATAACGGTTGAGACTCAATACAGAGTATAACTGGAATGCATTTTTGTTCCTTATGGACCTCAGAGTAATTGAGCCTTTCCCATTCTTATTTCTCAAACAACTCAGAGCATAGCACTTTCCCAGTTTGATGGTTTTATACTAGCTATCTTGCATGGCTTCACACAGAACTTGGAACTGTTAGCTCTTAATCGCCATGCAAAAGAGTGTTGCCTGTTCCACAGGGTAGGGCAAAACAATGGTGTCATTCTCATTTATTATACTCACTTTCCACCAATAAAGAGCAGCCTGGTTGATTTAATCATTCTTCCAAGGCAGGGTTTCTCAACCTTGGCAACTTTAATATGTGTGGACTTCAACTCCCATGCTGGCTGGGGAATTCTGGAAGTTGGAGTCCACACATCTTAAAGTTGCCAAGGTTGCAAAACCCTGTTCTAAGGTCTGCAAAGACCTTTTCCCTCCAAGTTCCAATTCATAATTATTTCATATAGGTTTTTCTATTTTTATTACCCCATCTTTTCCATTGCTTTCAAAGGAAAAACCTGATTCCATAAATAAAAACCAAGGGAAAGCTGAATTCTATTACAGCAAAAGACGACAGAATTCAAATGGATGTTAACACATAGGTAGATAGACATCCCATATACACTCAGTTGGGATCCAGCTGTACTATTCTCCTTGAGTCACAAGTTCTGCTTTATATTGCATTGGTCAGACCCTCCACCTCAAGTAATAAGTCCAGTTTGGGCACCATTCTTTCAGAAGGATTCAAACAAACTGGAAGAAGTTCAGAGAAGTGGACTAGAACCTAAGTCCTGTAGAAAGAAACTGAAGTAGGACATGTATAACCTTGAAAAAAGAAGGCTGTGGGAGGATATTAAAGTATTCTTCAAATATCTAAACAGATATTATACAGAAGAAAGCCAACATCTGTTGTTTCCAGTGTGAAGAACATGAAATAATGGTCTTAGATCACAGGAAGAGAGATAGTTTTATGGTAGAAAAAACAGAAATTGCATTTTGATAGTACAACTATTACCTGGAGAAATGGTGGCTTCCATCTGCTGGATGTATTCAAACAGAGGTGGTAGCTATTTGAAGATAGCTGTCCAGTTGGAGATGCTTTAATTTGGATTCCTACACAGATTAAGAGGTTGAATTTGATGGCCTAAATAGTCCTTTGAGGCAATATGTTTCTAAGACTTTGTGAGGCCTTAGCTGTGGCATAATCATTTCTCAGTTTAAGATTTGGCAACAGCAACAAAGACAAATATCTTCTTGTGTATTAGTTCTGAGTTAGTACTGACTTACTCAAAGATGGTTCACAAATCTAAAATAGATGGAAAGATCTTTTCATTTAAAACCATTGTGATTAAATGAAGTGGGTGTACTGTGATTGACTTAATTTGGAAGTCAGAAAACAATTTTTTTTAAAACTCAGTACAGAATTGAGGCCTGTTGCCCTCCTAGTAAAATTATGGGTAGCATGAAGGCACCCTATAGTCCTGAAGCTCCACTATCATGCCTTTCCCTAACACTGTACCTGGGGATGACTGAATGTAGGGTATCAGATAGAAATGAGGAAACAGTGAAAAATACAAACTCATATAAGCTATACAGCACAGTATCATGAGATGTTTGGATGAAATAAGAAAAGGACAGCAGGAGTGACAAAACAAAGATTTCACAATAATATAAGAATATTAGGAATCAGTTGTAAACTTACGTGGTTTTAGGGCTCAAGGGGAAGCATCAAGGAAAGAAATTCTTAAATCAGGTCATCTGAAAAATCTGCCTTGCTGTTGTGCACAAAATATTTAGAACTAACTTATTTCAGACTTCAGATAGGCATCATGAAATCTCACTAAACATGAGTTCTCTGAAATGTCCTTACACTTTTCATCATTCATAACTGTATGTTTACTTGCACAATAGTTTTGCTGGATCATGACAAACATACTTCAAGCAAATGTATATAGAATTGCAGCATATGTTCTTTTGATAATGCTATTTTAACTGATTTGCTATTTACTACTTATTAATACCGTTGATTATTATTGGCATATTAGTATTTTATTGCCAAAACAATTAAAAACACCTCACATATTTGAAATTGTATTTTAATTAACATCTGTTGGAATGTTGGCATATTATAGGTCCAAAGATATTGGACAAAACAAGGTATCTAATATCTTCTGGCATTTTTTATGTAATATATTTTTTTTTAAGTGTTAACTGGTTTTTGTTTATAGCTATATTCCCACACAGGCTGAAATTATGTTGCAAGCTATTGATGGAAAACTTCCTGTGTGCTGTATCAAATTGATAAAGTAGGTTTTTAAAAATACAATTAGAGATTTCTGTAAACAAAAGCATTTTTTTTCTTTCACTGAATGAGCATTGTTTAAACTAAATAGAATTTCTCAACTGGGTGGTATAAATAACGTTGCAATAAATAAACAAATAAAAAATCAATCCCCCCCATCTTTAGTGAAATACCAAAATTTGAACAAATTTGAAAGTTAGCCTTTGTCTTTAAGGGCAGGAAATGGGAAGGGCAAAGAAGTTCCAAAGTATGTTTATATTTGCTTTTCCATATTTAAACTCTCTTATAAATAGCATATCTAACCACATTTAAGTACTACCAAATGCTTCACTTGGTTGGAGACTGGGACTATGAAGTGAAGTGGTGCCTACTTCTCATTAACAGAGCAGTTGCTTCACTTGCTGAATAGCAAAGAATGCACAGAAGCCCATTTGCAAAGTGGCTAATTTAAAGCTATTTGGCCTGGACAAAAGACTTTGCCATGGTCAAGCAGACCAAATCATTGGCTTCAGTGAGGTAGATCACAACTATGTGTCAAACCTAATATTTTTCCACTTTCAGACATCTAGCTGTGGGAATATTACAGATACATACTTATTCAGTTGCCAACATAATTTAATATGGTAGGCAAGTATATACATTTATTAAAAGCCGTTATCCAATTTTCTCTGCTTTTTGATGCTGTTCTTAATTCTGTGCTGCTACAACTTTTGTAGTGAGACCAATCAAGCCAAAATTAATTGGTTGTACACCAGTCTGAATCCCATTAACTAAGGCAATCCAAATAATGTGGACCAACATTTGATGCATGTAGCTGTAGTAGAGATCAATAAAGTTTTGATTGGAATTTAGCCTCCATCTATCAAGAAGTTTGCAAATCATTAACCTCATTGGGTTGACTCTAGATATAAGTCATACTTAAGTAGACCCATAGAAATTAAGCAAATTATGTTTGCTTCTAGCTCATTATAATTGTTTAGGCAGAAATATCACTATATATAAAACATATGATAGAGTAACAATAGCAAAGATGAGAGGACCCTATCCCAAGGTACTTATAATCTAATTTTCAAAAATTGGGGAGAAAAAAAATAAAGAAGTAAAGTTTGGGGAGGGGAAGAGAGAGAGAATACATGTAAATCAATAGAGAAGTCTATAAAAACCACACCCTACAACAACAATTTGATCAGAGTTTCCTTCATTGTTATTTTATTTTATCTATTGTCTTGTCATTTGAATGGAAAGTGGAAATCTTCAAAAGGCAACAAATGAAAACAGTTTGAGAAAATGATGAAGAGGTGATGGACATAATTAATTATTAAGCATTGAGTTACCTGAATAGCATTGGTTACATTCCAGCCAGCCTCCCAAGTAGTGATCAGTGTATTTTGAACATTTTGTGTGCACACTTGGGATTCATAGTTTTGGTCTTGTACCTGTGCACCAAGCTCCAAGGAAAGGGCTAGTTCTTCATCTTCATCATGAGTCCTATTCAGTCCATCCTGTCTGGCAAAATTCACATTTTCTTCATCAGTATAAATTCCATTCCATCTCACCATGTTCAAGAAAAGAGATGATGTGCTCTTAAAATGATTTGAAAGAGATGAAAACATTTGCTGCATTTAAGCTACCTTGGTATACCAGATGGCCGTAGCAATTACACTATTCTTGCTGAAATTAATTTTGCAGTAGTGTTGTCTTATTAGAATTTCTGGAAGATGTACTGAGATAAAGAAGATTCTATTGAATTCTTCATTAGTGGCAGCGCCAAATGCTGGTCTAGAAGACCGTTTGCAACAGTCCTCAGCGTGCTGCTCTGAATCTGGGAGGCTGAGAAACCTGAAAACTAAGATGTCCAATTGAATTCCTCTCAGTTATGGTCACTGAGTCAATCAGTCAGTTGTCAATCAGTCAGCTACAAGTGACTGGCAGGAGATACTGCTAGGTATTTATACAAGGATTCAGTGCTAATAGCTATTACTCCGTATTATAATTATAGTAATTTAGACTAAAAAATGACAGATACTGGCAAAAGGGATTACAAATGTGTTTAGTTGCATCCTAACAGACCAGGTTTTCATTAAGCATGACTTAGAAAACAACCACAAAATTTCAATCACCTTACACAAAAACTTGTAAAAATAAACCATTTGTTAAAAGCTAGCTTCAGAAAATGAAATTTTTCACAGGAATTTTTTACCTGAACTTGACAAATTTCCAGTTTGAATTTGGCTTAAATTTAAACATGATTCTAAAGGGTAACTTTGCCCTGATAGATAAGGGATGGGCTATATATATATTTTTGTTAAATTATGTTTTAGTTTCTCAGGGCTATACAGGTACAGCTGATGATACAATGATTTCATGTAGCAAATAGGGATGAAATGTGGGGTTCTTTTTATTTGGTGATTCATTCATTTACTCAAAATAGGTTTTGTAAGCCTGTAGCTGTAAGCACAAAAGGTCAAAAGGGGGGGGGAGATTATTCATTTGGAGAGAACCTAATATTATCCCAGAAGTTAAAAAAGACACTCCGCAAAATTGCCATTGACCACTGAATTTCAGTGCTTCTGGGCACAAAACTGGGGTTAAGCCACATGCAATCAGGCCATTATGGCTTGTCCATCCTCACTACACATTCTATAGCTCATCCTATAGTGTTTGTGAAAAGCTATAAAATAGCTCTCAATTTATTCACACAATATTTGTAGATGACATTAATGAATAAAGAAAGAAGAGACATCTGGTACACACTCAAAAGTAATTTGACAGCCATCTAATGGGCATTATTTGTGTTATGATCACAATTCAGTTGTTCACTGGGAAATGATATAGGAAAATGCTTTTTAATTGGGTAGGAAAAGTTGAGGAACACTCTTCTCAAAAGGAACTAGGCAACATTTTTCTCATTTAGACAACATCCAACATTTTGTTTCCAACAGGTGATTCTTACACATCTTCTTTCCCTGAGGACCAATTCTAGACTTATAAAGAGTAATGGATCTTAAAAACTCTTTGAAGTTGGTGGGGAAGGAGAAATATCCAGAGTTCAACTGTTATACTGTTGCTGTTCCTGAATTGGGGTAATAGTGTCAATATCAACATGTTCTAGAGATTTTTAAATGCATTTTGCTGTTTCAATTGTTTCTTCCAAAAGCAGCACTATAATCCATTGGCAAGATGCTGACAAGGAAGGCCATTTTAATATGTAATCAATCAAACATAAAATGAACAACTGTGAAACTTTTGCTTCTGAGACAATTTAGTTTTTCAGCCTAGTGGGCTTAAATCATTCTTAATCTGTATTCAATTTAATAAAAAAAAAGCTTTTAAAACTGCTAATGCCATATCTCTCCAGATTCTACCCATCACATAGGGTTTAGTGAGGGAATCAGCCAAGTGTTTTTCCTTCTGCAATATAAAACAACTGTATGATGTTTTATTAAGAATAAACATGAAGAAACAGTGGAATTGCTGTATTTTGTATTGCTAGAGCTTTTGCTGTTTAAAACAATAATGAACAGAAGAAAGCTAGAAGGCATTTAACCTCAATTAGATTTACTTGTCATAGCATCCATGAGCAGGAAGTACATAGCAATTAGGAGGAGGTGGAGACATCCTGGCAGCTCCAGACTTTGCCATTTTTCTCTCCTTGCCATCTGAAGAAAAAATTCCCCTTCTGGTTATTCTGTGGGCCTTGTAATATTTTGAGCAGATCATTGTTTGAGTTTAGGACTTTTACTTTTTTTTTCATGTTTAATGAATTTTGTATTGCTCTTTTATTGTTCTTATTGAATGCTGATCTCACATGAATATCCAAAGAATAATCAAAAGAGTCTCAAAGAATGGTCCAGATAGTCTACCATTTTCTAGATGCTAGAAAAAACAGTTTAAAAGATTGATTCTGTGTAAACTACAAAAACATTCTATGGGTGTTACTTGAGGTTAAGTTTGCTCTGGGCAAATCGAAGTGGATATAGCAGGAAGTGAATGCCACACAAAACATGCTAAGCCCAAACATAGTTTATCTGGTTTTGACATGGTGTGCTGTATGAACTCTGGCAACTGTGGGTATATTCAATAAACCTTGGTTAAGCAAAGCAAAATTTAGTGCACTCTGCAAACCAGTTCCATGAGATCTATTTTTAAAGAGGTTTAAAATTAGCCTGAGAGCCAATTTGAGGTAGTGGTTAAGGCACCAAGGTAGAAACCAGGAGTCTGGGAGTTCTAGTTCTGCCTTAGATACAAAACCAGCTGGGTGATCTTGGACCAGTCACTCTCTCTCAGCCCTAGGGAGCAGGCAAGGGCAAACCACTACTAAAATCTTTCCAAAAAACTGCAGGGACTTGTCCAGGCAGTTGCCAGGAGTCAATATTGTGTCAATTGAGGCACAAAATTAATAACAACAATAATAATAAAAATAAAAATAGCTTGCATTGTTCCTAACCTATGCAGTATTTAGTTTACTTAGGGCAATAATAAAATTCCAATCTTGTGTTTTAAATCTTCAGAGCAAATGAAATTCTAAGGACATGAGAGGGGCTTATCTTTAAAAACATTTTTTTAGAGTCTTTTCCACTTGTGGAGTCCTTGGTGTTTTCCTAGCTTGGTTGTTTTCTTGCAGAAGTTTTGTTTTGTTACCCAGCTAGGTAACATCTTCAGGGCTAGAAGCGAGTGGGGTTTGCTCTCCATCCCACTCTGGAAGGGGGATGCTCCCTTCTAGCACTGAAGATGTTACCTAGTCAGGTAACAAAACGTCTGCAAGAAAATAATCAAGCTCAGAGGACCCCAAGGACTCCACAGTTCATCCCGGAGCTATATACTCTCTTCTACTGGTACCACATATGGGTGTCTAATCTTTTCCACTTGTTAGGATTGTACGTGTTGAAGATGATTCACATTTTTGATATTGCTTTTAATGGAAGCAGTCTGCACTTCCTTTGCTACATACTATGCATTGCTATCAATTAATACAAATTTAAATATTCTTCTATGTGTGTTTTAACATACAGTGATTTTATTAATAGATTTGAAGAAACCCTCCCAACTTAGCTGGATTGGTTTGTGCTTGAGTTTGAATGCTTTGGGCATTTTAGTTTCAAAATGTTTTTATTGTGAGTCTAAAGAGAAAGCTATATAGTTTTATTTCAGGAAGCTTCCAAAACAAAATCCACTATATCTTAGAAATACTCCCCTGTTGAATATTAGAAACTATCTATATCTATTGAGCTGAGGCATTACGATGAATCTCAGATGGAGACATGAATATTTAAAATCAAACTCTTTTCCTCTGTTATAATGAATCTGTTGACTATTTTATATGCCAGTTTAATGATGACAGTATTTGGCATGTTTTACTCTTTCTCCTCACATATTCCTTTTCTGCTTGTTTTAATGAAGCTGAAACTTGTAAGCAGACTTAATCTTTGTGCCCGTGCTTAATATGTGCCTTTCCAATAATACATGTTAATAGGCCATCTTATGAAAATTAATAATGGGAATAATTCTGCTAGCTATATTTTTCCCTTTATTTTGGTCCATATGATCCCAAGTCTCTGGGTGGTTCACACATCACGTAATCCATGATATATTTAACTGTAGTTTGTTAAACACATCACAATTATCTGGTTTCACTGCACCAATATCAAACAAGCCACATTATGGCTCAGTGCAATGTATGAGCTGAGACTCTGTATACGATGTGTGGCACATTGTTTCTTCCTTGGTTTGCATTTGTGTATTTGTTGGGAAAAACAAAATTTGTTCTATCTTAATGGCAATTTGATCCATGTTTGAGTTTGGACAACATAAGAAACTAAATCATAATATGGTTTAGCATGGTGTGAAAACATGGTTATAAATTAGGTGTTCAACAACATTGCAGCACAGAATGTGAATGTTCAGAATTCTGACTACTGTATTCCATTTCTCCTCCTCTGTGTTCCACCATCACCCCAGTGGTACTCAGGTGAGCATTTCTGGGCCACAGAGCATGTCGTTTTTATGGGACTGATTGTGAGTCTCTTCCCCTCCCCCCTTCTTTCTAAATATTTCTATATTTCTGCAATCTTTAAGGCTTCCCTGTATCTACTTGATACACAAATGCATACATACTTTTGTGGTGGTGATGTTGTCTTGACTATATACTAATGACCCTCACAACCTGAACATTGGAAACACATAGAATATTCTAGCAAAATGGCTTATTCATAGAAAGTCTCAAAAGAAGTATAATTGCATGGTTTGAAATGCCTTTAACTAACTTTGTTTCTATCTTTGTAATCAAAAGAATGGCCAAACATTCTGATCAGGCCTACACAAAATTATTTTGAGGGAAAAAGTGACAGTGTAAATGAAGAACATGTCTAGAATCTCTAGGACCATATAAGAAAGAAAGAAGAAAGAGATAATCACCTACATCTTTTGTCAGCAGGATATGAGATTCTTTTTCAATAATTAATTTATTTATTAATCATTTTTAAAAGAAGAAAGAAAAAAAGAGCGAATGAATAAGTGAGATTCTTGTGCTTTAGGAATTTGTGTCATCACAACTACTCAGACAAAACAGATGTGAAGAATAAATATTTATTTTATTATTTCAGTTAACTTCTGG